TATATATAAGTATTATATATTAATAATTATTGTGTATTTTATTTATATATATAAATATTTATGTTCCAGTTTTATTTTAATTTACCGTGCGATCGAACCGAGCCCGAAATATCGCAAGTATTGAACCAAGGTTTAAAACCCGGTCCGCATGCACACCACAACCGGTCTCTCTCTTTATGATTAATTGAAGTAATACTCAATTAAGGAATTTAAATTCCTCATTAATCTTATTATTAGGGCCTTAATTATTTTGTGTTGAAACCGAAAAATCTCTTTTCTCTTCTCTATAATACCTAGCTTTCATATTTTCCTTCCAATTCCTTCTCGCCATTACCGATCATCCATCACCATCATCATCATCGAACCTCCATCATCATAATCAGCAGAATTCTGCGTTCGCTGCCATCACCATCGCCACCCTTTCAAGCAGGTTTGTTGCAGCACCTCCGTGATCAGCCCGGCGAATCGCGCGCAGATCCTTGAGAGCGAGCCCTCTGGTGACGTCCTTCCGTTCGCGAGCAGAGACGTATTCGAGGAGTTCTGGAATTTCGAGGCTTCAATTCCTCCTTCTGTTCATCCGTCTGTTCGACCGTTCGTTCAACCCGTTTTTTCGGTATTCTCGAAGACGGGTAACCTTTCGAATCCCTATATCGAGTTCGTATTTAATGTTCCAGCTGTATATTATCGTGCTCGTAATTTGTTGGATTCGATTCTCGTCTTTCGCTTGAATTTTAATGTCGGAACGTTTATTCGTTCATGTGTTTTGATTCGTAAGTTTCGTGGATGTTCGGGGACGAATGGAACTCTCGATTTCGTTAAAGAAAATTTTGTTATGTTGCTGTGACTATATCGTATTAGTTCAGAGTTCCGTTTTGTCGTTTCGTAATCTCGTTGTAATTTATTTCGGGTCGTCTTGTTCGTTGTTTTCAAACCGTGTTTTAATGTTTCGTTTTTTTCCAAACAAACCCGTTTTTATAAAATTTCGCAGCTTTGAAAATATGTTATTTATGATGATCTCTCGCATTTCGTTGTCGATAGTTATGTAGTCGTCGAATTTGGTCAAATTTTGCCCAGACTGTCGCAACTTTTGTTCATTGTGTTCTGTACTTCTGTCTCTGTTTTCTGTTCAGTAGGGTGTAGGCGTTTTATTTAAATTTAGTATAAGCGATTTCATTAAAATTAACATCCAGAGCATATGGTGTACAGGTGTAGTGGTTGTCTGACCACTCTTCCTTGTACGAGGTCGCGAGTTCGAAACCCCAGCCTGTGTAATAGCCTTTGTATTGTTTTTTATTTATAAACCCAGCTTCAGCGCTTGCCTTCAAGCTCGCAGTCGACCCACGTCCCAGCCCGACTTCTCCCTCTGTTGGAACTATTCCAACGGAAGTTATTCCATTGAAATATAACATTTATTTTGTAGTGTAAATAGCAATGTGTAGCAGCTGCCTTTATTATCTTTGACAATCAATATCACATGAAATAGAAAGGGTTTTCTTGTTGTCTTTTCTTGATCTGTAACTATGTAACTATCAATGGCATTGAACATTTTCCAATATTTTTTTGGTACAAAGAAAGAGGCCAAAGGCCTAAAACTACACTACTAAAACTCTACGTGGCTGAGCCACACCTCGATAATCATAATCAATCCACGCATCTAGTCCCTGGGGCGGTGACGAAACTCTCTGGAAGACCAAAGGATAGGAGCTCGCTATACTCGCCAGATGGTTAACCGTCGAATAAAATAACTAATCTATTTAATTTTGACAAAAATAAATAACACTTCATAGATATATGTTACAGAATTTGAATCATATTAAAAAAATATATTTCTATTAAATATTATAAGATTTTTTTTTTAATTTATGTTTGACAATTAATTTTGTATGAAACACCCTAGTACGCGTTGTACTAGTCAAACTATATAACATAAAAATTCATATCATATAATACCAGTACATTTTACATTTTGAACTGGTGAAAAAATGTCTACCTACGCCTACTACTTATACCACTAATCTCGTGGTCGACTCGCATCACTACCAAAGTTTAGCCTAATAATTTAGTAACTTGGTAGCATCTATTGTCATTAGAGGCACAATTTTGACAATTAAAATCTCTCCAATAAGAGAAAAGTAGACCTAATAAAAAACGAGAAGCTTCAGATGAAAAGAAAAACTCGCACGGTGACAAGAAAAAACATTAACACATAAAATTGAACTCTCCTCTCATAATCAATTTCCTTTGGGAGAGTCCATGAAAAAGAAAAAAAAAAAATAATATATCATATGCTATATACTATAGTCTAACTACTAATCCGCCAACTTAACTCGATCAGGAAATTGTTTGGAGTTGGGGGAACCAGTAATTTCATTTCATCATCTCCTCCTCAGATCCACCACGAGCACGGTGACATTATCGGCGCTGCCACGTGCTAAGGCCAGCTTGGTCAACAGTATGGACGCATCCGAGCAGGCCTCGTCGGAGCTATCTCCGATGATGTCATTTCCCGGCGGTTTATGAGACAGCAGGCACATACGCGCCACCCCGCAGGCAGTCTCGTTTGACACCACATCCCACAGCCCGTCGCTCGCCAGGATCAGGCACTCGTCCTCCGCCGTACGCTCCGTCACGGTCACCTCCGGCACCGGTATCACGTATGGTTTCAGATAATTATCACCTGCTCAGAGATCTTAATTTATCAGCCCAACAATAATATTTAATGTTAATATAAAATGTTTGAGATATAATTTGTTCATATATATTTACCGATTGCGCGAGACATGGCCAGCATCCCAAGGACTCTGGGCCCATCCCAGAAGATAACCCTGCCGCCGGCTTCTTGTATGCGATTCAGCTCGTCCGGCCGATCCGGCTGCAAACCAGGAAAAGAATAAATAATTAAATCTATTAATCTATAATAAATTCATAGGAAGCGAAAAAAATAAAATAATAAAAGAGAAAATAACCTTATGGTCCACAGAAAGGGGAA